TATATATATATATATATATATATATATATATATATATATATATATATATATATATATATATATATATATATATCAAGCGATATACCGAAACATACCGCTCAATATACAATACCGTACCGTACCGAGCGTATCTCGAAACTCCAGTATGATATGATATTCCAATCCTTGATCCAAAGGAGACCTATAAACTTCACAATAGAATGATGTGAGATAGACGACCTAAGCAACTTTTCTTAGAAATCATAGGAAATATAATTGCATTAGTTTCACCAAAGGTTCGTCATGCTGTGGTATACCTCCCGGTATGAGCGATATACACCGATCCAATAGGGGACTGACACGCAAACCACCCTGTACTAGGTGGTATATGCTAAATGACCTTGTATCACTGGCTACAGGGTATGTAATGATCGGAATGGTCAAAATTAGATCGTTAACTTGCACCGATCGATACCTGTCGGATTTCGACCGTTACAAACGAACGACTTAGATCTGACTAGTTATAACGATCAAATCCATTTGAAAGGGTTTTTAAACCCTTTCCTGCCCCTCTTTCACTCTCTCAAACTCTTCTACCCTCTCAATATCTTTCTCACTCACTTCTCTCATTCCCACATTTGCATTCTCTTAAAACTTCACAAAACTGTGATTTTTAGTTTGAATCAAGTTTGGAAGGCTAATTAGAGAGGATTTTAGATCACTCCTAAGTTAGAGGAAGAACTCTCTAATCAAATATATGTATATTTTTCTCGATTTTTGATGATTTATGAGATAATTAAACCTATTCTATGTTCTCAATATCTAATATGTTGTTTAAGGTCTTTAAGATAGTAGAGTAGTGTTAATTAGAGAGAAATTAAGGCCTTTAAAGTTGTGATTAGTACATTTAATGTTGATTTTTTTAAATTAGACACTTAATGAGTCAAATCTTTGTATTTCAAGCATATTAAGGTGATTTACATCTTTGTGATATAATAGGTTTAATTATGTTTTAATTAATTTTTTTTAATACTGTGATTAGTGGTTTAATGATGATTTAATTAAAATTTGACTCATATTGGGTCAATTCAATGCCTTTAATACCAATTAGAGTGTTTGACATGTTTATAATGATAAAAGAAAACTAATTAGGGAATGATTAACTATGTTAATGCTGTGATTAGTGTATTTAGTATTGATTTAATCGAAATTTAACCTATGTTGGGTCAATTAAAGGAAGGTTGTCGTCCGTGTACTTTTAACAAACGATGACATCAAATGGTTGTGAATGTTACTGGTGAGAGAAACTTGTATATATCCATTACAACATATGGCTAAGGTTACAATGTGGCGAGCTAGACAAGGAGCGAGAGAAACCATAGATTGATCTCATCGACCTCCAATACTACAACGAGAATTCCCAGCCGATGTTAGAGTGGGTCATAGCAACAAAGAACCAAGATGATCCTCTATTTGATGAGGTGGGAGATCGTCTACGCTATTCACGTATAACCACCAAGGCAATAGAAGAGAAAGCACATCCCCAACAAGAGGAAGATCACCCTCGATTAGAACGTGACGGAAGGAGCCAATCAGCATCAAGTCAGACTACTCGAGAAACTAGAGATGCCCAACGTGCAAGGCAAAGGCAAAGGGGAAAGTAGTAGCATCATCGACACTATTGGAAAGAAACGAGTCGGGCGACAAAACACCTCAATCGTATTCAATAACCCGCTCAGTCCGGAGACATGACAATGATGTAGACAACAGTGCCTCGACCGATAATGGCGACCGATAAGGCAATGGATGATTTTGAGTAAATGCGACAGAACCTCCACAACGTAGACACAAAGCGAAGCTCATCGTATTCATAGTCATTGTACTATGGAGAATCTTACGATCAACAACAGAACGAAAATAGTTGGTCATTCTTCCCCGAGCAACAATACGGTAATCAATCTTATGATACGGAGCAACAGATCAGTGGCGAAAGTACTGACATTCTCTAACCTTTAAGACATGCCACAATCGTACTTGCCTTAGGAGCCATCTTAGACATATGTGATTCATAATGATCAGACTACAACCATCATCACATTGATGTACCAATGACATACAATGTATTAATATACTATATCATGAGATTAATTTCAAGATTGGGTCTGACAAACATATCAAATTGATATATAGATACACAGGATCGAGGACCCCGATGCATCACCCGTAGAGTCTCGTAGTTCTTTTTAGTGGTAGAACCAAGTATAAGCGTTGATCGATTACTTAATTCATTTGAATCTTAAACCTTAAGTTGAATGATAAATAATCTAACAATTCAAATCATTTCATCGTATATAATTTAATATCAATGAAAAAACGACTTGAAACGTACCGCAACGCTACTCCTCAAGCCCAAAAAAGATATATGCCACTATTCTTTCCTAATTCAGATTATTTTTGCTAAAAATATATTAAATTTATATTTATTTTCAACTTAAAAACTATAATCTAACTTTTTTAAAGGAATTTTTGGAGCTATTTTGAACCATTTTTTCGTGTTGTCGATATGCCCTGTCGTACCGATACACGATACGTCGATACAAAACGGTACATACCATACTGTCAACCATTTGATAAATCAGTTCGAATCAGTATGGCGAACCTTGGTTTGACTAATGTTATTTCATGCAGAGCACAATGATGGAAAAAGATTCACGCAACGAACCAAAATAGTTGGAACATTATAACTTGTTATGTATTAGAGTATCGATGGGTCAAATTAGATAGATAAATCTTAAAGCTTCACTTCCATTAGGATTTCCCTTGTAACAATAAAGATACACAAAGCTAAAAAAATATCTAGACGATTAAGCACCCTTAAAAAGAAATATAGAAATAACAGGAAAGAAAGAACTACATAAATATGTCTTTTCAATGATGGAAAGCAAGCAAACACTAAGGACTTAATAGGCCTAAAATGACCTGTCATAAAACTCATGGTTAAAGAAAGCTTCTGTCTCAAAAGAAATATTTACCTTAGGATTCTTCACAGTCTCATCCACACTTAAGATAAGACAAGAAGCTTCTGTTGCAGCATTTATAGCATTGATCTGCAAATCATGTTTATTGATGCTATTAACATTAATTAACACAATTTTGATAGAGAGCAAAGAAAATAGAAAAATTACTTTCACAACTGCAGGTTCCCATACGAAGTTAGCAAAAGAATCAGCAATTCCACCAGTATTTATATCCACACCATAGTTTGAACCTTCCCCTGTTGATGTTGTGAATTTCAGCATGTGTTACTAAAAGTAAACATCCAAGTGATCTCATTTATGAAGAAAAGGAAGAAACTAACCAGACGCATGCTTCTGTCTTAGTTTGTTCAGTACATCAGTTGAATCAAATCCAGCGTTGTCACAAAGTTGCCGTGGAATGACCTGCAGAGTAAGAAAAATAGAACTCTTAAGACTAGAAATCCAAAGAAAATATATAGCAATCCTTCCAGGTCAAAAAGCTACATTCATTACAGGTAAGCTATTCTGGAAGCCCAAGTGCCAACTAGATCACTATAGCACCAAATAAGACACAAACATCTTATTAGAAGTCATAATTTTGTTCTTCATTATAACTGAACATGATTTTTCAAGAGACAATTGTTTCCTTTTCTTTCTTAAAACATGACACTTCTCAATGCTCTTCTTATAATTCACATTTTAGTTGATCCTAATCCTATAACATGTTTGTTCTCTTTTAGTTCAAAACCATTCAATGTGAAATAACACTGTACATCCCCTCCATTTGAACTATCTCATGTTTTTCTAATCTTCACAATCCAAAGATACCAAAACATTTACACTTTACTGCCTAAGTTGCACAGCATTTAAACCTACTAAAGGAGTTCCAAAGAAAAATAGACAAGAAAGTAGTAAAATTGATGGCAAATTGATAACTCTCTAAATGCTCGTGCTCAACAGATATAACCACCGATATATTAAGGGAACTAGGACATAAATACTCATTGTTGTCTACCTCAAGAGCTTTGGCATACGAATTGATAAATAGCTGTGACTTCCCCGCTATTGTACGTGCATGCTGTCTCAAATATCGGCTTAACTCCATCTGTCATTGACAGAAAAATATTATGGTCCGAAAGAGATAAAGTAGAACAAAACAATGCTTTGCTACATATAATTACATCAATAGCGCCACCACCAGGCACAATGGTAGAGTTCTTTAAAGCTCTCCTAACAATCATTATAGCATCATGAAGGCTCCTTTCTGCCTCATCAATAAACTGAAGAGGGATAGCAAAAAAATTAATGACAAGAAGCTGTGTGCATCAAGATCTCAAAGTCAACACAAAGGAACACCACCACTTCAAGCAACAAACCTGATCTGCACCACCTCGGAGAACAATGGTTGCTGTCTGACCAGAAGGGCAGCCATTAAAAATGTTAAACCGTTCATTGCCTACTTGTCTTTCCTCGAACACTTCACAGGATCCGAGAATCTTGACACAAAAGCAGAGATACTTGTGAGAAATTAGAAATTATATCAAACCAAAATGCTTTGTTTTCAAAATCAAAGAGTTCAATAAAATAAGCATAACTCATGCATCATGTCAATAACTAACAATGAAAAATAAGCAAGCATGACAGAAACCTCATCGATGATGTTGTTGACAGATGTCTGAACAGTTCCACCTGTTGCAGCAGCAACTCGTTGTAAATCTTCCTCTGTGACACGACCGGCACAGAAAATATCTCGATCAGCAAAATACTGCACAAAAGGACAAAGTGTTATGGTTCAATGTACTATGACTCAAGTGACTAACAACTGACTGAAGATACCTGAGTTGCAAGGTCACCAATTGCCAATCGAGAGAGGACAATTTTTGCACCACTCTTAACACACTTATCTAGCTTGTCATAGATGATATTCCATTCAGCATCAACAATTGATTGGTACTGTAATGGATCCGATAGCCTACAGAAGAACCAGAAGGCAAAAGTATATAGAGAGAAAGAGAGAGAGAGAAAGAACTATATATAAATGAAATTGGAGCTGGTGTACCTGATTTCCGCATTTTCTTTCTCTGACTTCAGTTCCAACTCAATGTTCAATAAAAGTATCTTCGGATTTACAAATTTCTTGGGCTGTTGCTCGAAACCAGCATAAGAAAATGTCTTTTTAAAAGCAACACCATTAACAAGAAATGAATCTCTCATGTTACCCCCAGGGACCTACACAGATAAAGCCAAAATTTAGACGTTGAAATATCTTCCAAAAGCTATATCTTCGTTCACAATTTCATTATTTTAGCTTGAACTGATTGAAAGGAGAAAAGTAGCCGTGGAACCACATATTAATACTAACAGACAGAAAAGGCAGGAAGTATCCAAAATCATACTTTTGTATGTCGAAACTAGAAGCAAAAATGCAAGATCGCGTTGAAAGCCAAATTCCAGGAAAATATCAAATATTAACTTAGCATTTCTCTATATTAAAATAATGAGCTAATTTTTGCCTGTAAGCAAGTATAGCCAAAGGATTGAAAAAGAGAAAATCCCCCACCAACCAGAAAAAAAAAAACTATGACACAGTATAAATAATCACTATCAAGCTTCTCACTCCCACAAGCAGCATATAGATATTTGCTGCTTTAGATACTCTCAAGATATATGGATCTTTTATTTAGAACTCGAACCAAGTTTTGGCATTCAAGTCATGTATCTAAACATATCTAATAGCTATACTTTAAAACAATGAGTAAATGTTCGGTGTAAAATGGAACAGAAACTTTTTGCGATTCATTTGAATAATGAGGAATCTAGATGGATATGTTGTCCACATGTGAAGCAACAGTAGGATAAGATATTATTACTCTGTAATTTGATACTCCCACAAAAAAACATAAAAATTATAATAGGAAGTTCAAAACTACTGAACTAGAGGACCATTTTAGGAAGACGAACATGACCTTTTTTATCCCGATCATATTAAGCCTGTCGTCGTTGCCAATAGCAAGGACAGCATCCACAACTATGGAAGCAAAGAACTCCTTCTCACCACCTATTAGTTTCGAAGAAAGTGTTGTAGCTGCACATTTTGCCAATAAAGATTTCTTTTCTTCAAGGCTTTTCCCCTCTATGCTTACAGCAAGTTCTTTAATTTTGTTAATGGCCTGAAATTTGTTATCCAAAATTTGGTTAATGAGGTTCACAACCAGTCATAAGAAATTTCAATTTTCAGGTACTCACCAACGAGGATGCAGTTCGGTAACTTCGAATAAGATTCTGAGGGTGAACTCCATCTTCAATGAAAGGTTTTGCCTCCTTTAAGAACTCACCAGCAAGAAGCACAACAGTGGTGGTTCCATCACCAACCTGCACCGGAAGGAGATGCATCTTTGAGGCCTATCTACAATGGCTCAATACTAAAACCAGCCTCAGGTCAAGAAAGACACCGACAAGCAAACAGAACTAGTTTAAACACCAAAAACATATCCAAAAAGATGCATGCTTTTATAATTTATAACACCAGTGCTTTATGTTTGCCTAGGACATCAAATAAGCACAAAATCTAACCACAATTAACACTGCAACAATTAACAACAAGACAACAATCACCTGACCAGGAACACAGCAAAGAAAGGTCCAATCACCATAGAGGCAAGAACCAGTTAAAACCAACCAGCATTAGCCAGATATCAGTAAGCCCATAAAGGTACGAGGGCATGAGTGAATTTGTCAAATTGAAACTAACAAATATCACATCAAATTAAGTATAAGATAAAAAGTCTAGCACTGTAAAAATAAGTCCATAAATGCATGAAACCAAGATGATGTTGCTTTCACCAGCTAAAAGAAACTCTTGCATTAAAAAAGGTTTGCTTTTTTTGGATCATGTGGTTAAAGGCTCCTATATCTGAGTTACTAGGCTAATGGACCTATTAGGCCAAATCATGACATCTGGTATCACAGATTACTAGTAAGCAAATGTGTGGATGAATGGGGCCCAGTGATTTAAAAGGCACTAGGCATCAAAAGGCGCCAAAGCACAAAATGCCCGAGGTGCTAGGCACTCGCCCGAGCGAAACGAGACGCTTTGAAATATTAAAATATAAAAAATATATAATATAATAGATAAATATGATTATATAAATAAAAATACAACATTAAACGACTATTAACAGTAGTTAGAGAGGGAGAAAAGAACTGTTAAGAAGGGGAGAAAAAGTCGTCGACAATGGAACTTTCGGACAAGAGCAACAGCGGTGGAGGAAGCTGTGAATGGCAGCGGTGGCAGCGACGGAAGCTATGAATGATAGCGAAGGAAGCTGCAGATGGCAGCAGCAGCAGCAGCAACAACAGCGGCAGCAGCAGAAGTTAAAACGACATCATGGGTGAAGGAAGCTTCAGAGGTGTCCATCGATGACGAAGGAAGTTGCGGTCCTCTACCTCGATGGTGGAAGGAGCTGCACATGGAAGCAGTAGCAGTGGAAGGAAGCTATGGACAAAGGCTAGGCTGTTAGACCTGTCCATCAACAACAAACGAAGCCTCAGTTCGCCATGTCTGCGACGGAGGTAGTGGAAGCGTCGGTGACAGAGGCATAAGTTGTTCTAGGGTTGATGGCTCGAGGGTGCGTGGGGTGGCTTTTTGCAAATAAGAAAGTGGTTAGTTGATTCAATCGAACTAACTAACCACTGTTGAGCCGAACTAGACTTAAAAGTTTGGTTCGGTTGCTTCATTTGAACCAAGCCCGAGGCGCCCAAGCGACGCCTCACTGAAGTGCACCGCCTAGTGCACTCGGGCCTCGCCTTGCCTCATCCAAGCGCCTAGGCGAGCGCCCATGTGCCTATTTAAACCACCAATGGGGCCCAATCAAGTGGGCAGCGCAAGAGGCATATCACAATGTAGACGCGAGACCAGACCATGAGATTCACACGCCACCAAATAGGAAATGTCTCCAGGATATGTAATACACCTTCACAATGATGTCCAATCTTTTGAATGAAGTTTTTTATGGCCTAGTTTCTCTCGGTTATGACAATATACAAGAACCACATTGACTCACTACCAATGACACAAGATGAAGCGATTTGGGTTATATGATTGAAGGATCATTATATCTAAATTACTAAGCCAATGGGCCTACCATGAAGAGTCATGACAAGAACTTTTTGACTTAAGCAACTTCCAATCCATTAGTTCAAAACCAACAACTCCAACACTACAGGATATTCATGTTAAACAAGATTCTTTTTTAGTTTGCTAAGAACCACACAAATTCATTGGCCACAAGAAATTGTAAAGACGGAAAAAAAAGGAAATGCCTTGCAATATAACTTGGATTTAGCGCTAAATTGTTCATATTTTGTGTGTCTGTAAAAATTTGGATACTTCACAGAAGTTCTCCAACATCAGTAGAACCATCTGTGAATTTTGGCATGAGATTAGATGGTTCTCTAGCAAATGCAGATTTCCAACACCGTGGTAAATAACCCATGAAGAGGTGCTGTAGCTGCTGCTGTCAATTACATCTGGGTTCAAGGAAATAACGGGATCTTTAGGAACCAGCAAAACTTAACTAAGATAACAATTAAATATATCCTGAAATTTACAGAGTTAATTTCCTATTGAGAGCAGGATTCAAAGACAACCTTGCCAATGGGGACATATTAGCACACTGGGCATAAAGTCAATATTGATTATCGTGATACTTCACCTGCTGCATGTAATTCTTCACCTGATACTTCACCTGCTGCATGTAATACTTCACCTGCTACATTGGATTAAGAAGCCAACCTAACCTTCCTTTGCATGAGAGTGCACCACATTGTGGGCAACAAGTAAAAAAGGAGAATATGTATCAGGTGAAGTATTACATGCACTCAAGCACCCTTAAGCTCTAAGCTCTTTCTAATATTTTCTTAGATTGAGCCTTGGACAATGGCCTCATCAGCCCCCTTTTCCTGTCTCGATAGGTCAGAATCCATTGACAATCCGCACATCAGACCCTTTGACGTGGCACAGTATCACTCAAGGAAAGGCCCAGGTGTTTCCCCAGTCTAATCCAGTAGGACGAGCATAACTGACCTCATCATAAATGTTGTTTGCATGTTATTGTTAAGAATGAAGGTGGAACTGGCTGTGTTAAAACACAAAGCTGCTATTATTTTTGCTGGTTTGAGTTAGTTTGTTGATTTTTTTTTCTTTTTGCAATACTGTTGGAAGATTCCTAGTCTTGTAAATGCATGAAGATCTTTCAACAGATTCTTTTGGCTAACATTATTTTTTTACTTGCTGGAAAACCTACAAAATACGTCCCTGACAAAAATGCAAATTATACAAACACAATAAGCAAGAATAAAGACCGTAATTTTTGTAGCAAAGCCACTAGTGCTCCAATCTTTATCATCAGACCCCTAAAAGTTGACACCCATTCCATGTTCCCGGCGATTCAATGATTATTTCACAATAAGCAAGAATCAAGACTGTAAGTTTTGTAGAAAAGCCACTAGTGCTCCAATCTATATCGTCAAAACCCTAAAAGTTGACACCTATTTCATGCTCCGGGTTCCTACAGAAAATCTGGGAGGCGGCACGTTACCTCGGAGTCCTGTGACTTAGCAATGTCAACGAGAATCTTGGCAGCGGGATGAATGATGTCGAGCAGCTTCATGATGGTGGCGCCGTCATTGGAGATGGTGGTGTTGCCCTTATCGTCGTGGATGAGCTTGTCCATTCCTCGGGGGCCCAGCGTCGTGCGAACCGCGTCAGCCACGGCTGTGCAAGCATTGATGTTGCTCACCACCTGCGCCTTCCCTTGCGAGGTGTCCGTCCCTTCTTTCAGCAGTATGATCTGGGGTTGCTGCAATCATCACACCAAAATATCCAAATGGTTAACCGGTAAGCCCTAAACAAGAAAAACTACGACAAAATAGATATCATAGAACAGAGATCATGTACCATCATCGCCGCCATCTGAGCGGAAGGAGGAGGCGAAGTGAGAGGCGGAGGAGAGGCGAAGGGAGAAGGAAACCGAAGGCAGCTACGGCTTTTAGCAGAAGGCGGAAGGTTCGAGCGACGGAGTTAGGGTTTAGAGACGAGCCACGTTGGGCCGTCTCAACTGTAACCGGAGTCGGGCGAGTTGGCTCGCCCGTAGGCCACATGCAGGTCGAATCGGGTTCAATTAAACGGGCCGGATCGGGCTTGCGCTGTGCTAACCACCGAACCCGTTAGCTCAAGACATTCCATCCTCATCTTCCCTATGCCTTTCGCCTTTCCCAAAACCTCACTGGGGTGACCACGGTTTATGAACCCGTTACAATTTTATCAAATTTGGAACTAAAATTGAATCGGAAACCATTAATTTAGTTTCGATTTTGATTTGACCCACTAATTGTAATTTTTAAAAATAAAGTACTTTACCAAGACCCAAATCCTATATTAATAAGTTTTAAATCTAAAGTACTAACCACTATACTAAGATCTTATTTATATTTTATTTTTATATTTAATCGGTTTGAAATCAAAATATAATCATATTGCCTTCTTCCAGTTCGGTTCGAAATTGTCAAACGTTTATCTTATTTAATTTCTATTTCAAACCGATTCAATTTCAATTTGATTCTAATTTGAATTGAATCCGTACCCATGATTAGGGTGAACCATGTTTTGCAAAATAGAGAATCAAAACCGAATCGGTTTAAGGCGATTGCAGTCTACAAACTATTGATTTAGATTTTATCCACTACTTTTAATTGATGAAAAAATTACTATATATATATATATATATATATATATATATATATATATATATATATACTTATTCTATTTGAAATCATTGATTTTGAATTTGATTCTAATTTTTAAAAATCGAAACCGGATTAGCTTTACTTCTGATTCAATTTGAAACCATTGAATTATTAGCTTAGTTGGATTCTCATTCAAACGAGATGATGGTCGTCTTTATTTAGCTGACACCTAAATCTCGATCGATCGATGTGGCAGCCAACATTTATCTTTCATTTGTTCAATTCCTTTCTCGTATTTATCATTCGTTTCTTTTCTTCTTCTAACAAAATGGCTACGTAGCTAGTTTCAAACTGCAGTCTATTGGCATGTTAATGGGACCTACTAGGACGTTCACCATCAGCTAGCCCACTGGTGCTTTGTGGTCGTACGATTAAATAGTGTTCTTTTTTATTCTTTTCATATAAATAAGGAGTGGTTGATGGCGGCATGCTCCCATTTCTTTGTTCTGCTCTCTACCGTGAGATATTAAATAGATGGTCGGCGATCTAAATGCTTATGTCCACACGTTCACGTGGTGAGTTTCCTATTTAGAGCTCCCTTTTACTATTGATTTTTTTTATTTGTTATAATTGTTTAAAAAAATTAATAAAATATTTTTATAATTTACAATCCCACTAATTCATCCCATTTTATTTTTTTTTTCTTCCCATGACCCTATGATCGTCACCTACGCACTATGTCGTTACCAAAGCTCCTTTAGCCCATGCTTCTTATCATCGATCACTGCTCCCCCACTCTTTCCAACTCATATTTCTTATCTCCTAGCCTATGCTTTCTGTCGTCGATGCTTTGCTCATATTCCATGCTATCGATCATCGTCATAAAGCTTGTGCTCTTACATAGTTCAATATTATTTAATTGTGCTCGTCATCTCCTCAACACTATACTCCAAGGAGTATGAGAAAGAAGAAGAAAAAAAAACAAAAAAGAAGGAAGAAAAAGAAAAAAATAGATGGAGGAGAGAATACGAGGAGAAAGAAAAAATATATTTATGTCTATTTTAAAAAATAATATTAAATTTTAAAATTTTAAAAAGAATAAGCTTATAAATAGTAATCTTGTAAATATAGTGATCGGTTGAGATATTTTCTTCTTGATTATTTTCCTCGCATGTGGGTTTTGAGTGTGGTTGTTTCTATCTTGTTTTTGTTGCTTCATAGTTGTCTTTGCTAACTTGCGTTGTCTTCATGATGAGTGGTATTCTATCTGTCTTCATGACAAGTGGTATTCTATAAAAAATCAAGATAGAAAAAGATAGATAGAAAGAAGAACTATAATAATTTAAAATATAAAAAAATTATCAAGGAAAAAAACTTGATTATAACCCTTACTAGTACTTTACGATGTATTTACCGATTTTTTCTTAATCTGACTTGATGTTCTCACGGGTAGTTTAGACTCATGACACATAAATAGATCATGGTTTATCATATTCTTATTTAGAATAGGTAGTCTAAATTAATCAAATTATCATCCTAACACTCCAAGATTAATTTTACTACATATAAGTACAATTTTTCCTTCGTAGTAAAAAATCTCTCCATCTCTTTTGTTCAGCATCTATTGAACTTATGCTTTGTAAAAATTTCATCTACTGTGTTGATTTTATTTTTTGATGAAATAGAAAAATATTCATGCTAATGATGAACTTGAATCTTAATGAAATAGTAAAGTTTTTCTTACTTTCCTTCTCAATAATTTGGTAAATTTTCATTACAAAATATTGATCTTTTAGGGTTTACACGACTGCTAGCCATGATGATCCAAAATCTCTCAAGGATAGAAAAGTCCTAAGGTACGATGAATATGAAAGAAGGTGTGTGTGCTAACCTTGCAATATCAAGTTCGACTTGATCTTTCCACCATTGTTTGTGATCATCTCTTTGATTTACTTAGTCTCTTTAGTCGTCGTTTTGATTTTTCATTATTTTGTCATGAGTTTTTTATAATGATGTGACTTAGCAATTTTTACATCAGATCATAAAAGATTCCTTCATGGCAGAAGGAGAATAAAAGAAAGGACGAAACATTCAACGTTGGGACCTAAGGAAGAAAGTTCTAAGAAAAGACGTCATGGTTCTTTTCTTAAAATTAGTTTACCTTAAAATACTTGGGAGCTATTTGGATTGCATGGCCATGAAAAATAATCTAAATCAATCTTCAATCTTGTTCATTTCAAATCAAAATCGAATGGATTAAGAGTCAAAACTAAATCGGGTCAACACTAATTTTGATTTTAATTCAGTTCTAAACCAGTTGAAAAAGAGAAAAAAAAAAAAGACACAGATTGATTCCATGGTATGGTGTTAGTACATTGGCTAGCATTTTAAATTTGGATTAAATTTTGGTTTTTTTTTTTTTGTCAATCGGAATCAGCAATTATGATCAGGATGAATTAGTAATATTTCAAGTATAATAGAATAATAATAACAATACTTTATATCATTATCTCATGACTTTTAACAGTACGTCACATGTGCATTTAATTTATGGCTCATGCGTCCTTTGTGACGCATCGCTATCCAAGCAAACAGGAGCCGGCGGCAACCGTTGTTGATGTGTCCGGGCCGTCTCCCAAACCAGGCGGCAGCAGCTTCCGCGAACCCCTTCCTTGTCGTTCATGGAGTTACGTACATCACTGGTGTAGGGAATTATGACTCCTTAATTCCTCTCCTCCCTTCTTCCACTCACCAACCTATACTTGTCTTATCTGCAGCTGCTAGTGTGCAAGTGGTTGTTGATATAGTTAATCGAAAATAAGGGTGTTGCGGGGGGGGGGGGGCAACTGTTTAAGCCGTGGCCTCGGGATCGTTGCGGCTCGGTTCGGGGGTCCGGATGTCGGGGATCTCGAGCTTCGTCCCTCGGGGTCTCCCAAAGGCCGAGCACGGTGGTTCGGGTCGGGAGGTCGGGTCGGCGGGTCGGGTCGGCAGGTCGGGTCGGGAGAAAGCTCCGCCGCAGCACCGGGAAGAGGCGACACCGTCTCGGACCTGCACACAGGTCAGGCCGGGAGCTCGGCCCGACCCCTCCGACGATCAAGTTAGCGATGTGGAGAGGGTTTTGGAGGAAGAGATGCCTCCAAGTGCGTTATGCTTGTCCTCTCCTTGCTCGTTTAGAACTCTAGGGTATTTATAGATGAGTTTGATGTTACCTGATATGGCTGCTTGCAGGAGGCAGGCTGATAGCGTCTAACATGGGGTTGGCGTGGCATGAAGAACTAAGCCTGAGTTAGGTGTTAATGCCGACTTCCTCGGGCAGTGTGTTGTCCAGGCATGGCTGACATCATGGCGTGTTACATCGTCATTTTTACCCTTATCATATTCCCCCCCCCCCGAAAGGAGCTATACGTCGGTTGTTGTATAAGAGGAGTCCGATGCATGGCTTCTGTCTTCAGACAGGCTGGCCGCACGGACGAGGTCTCGGGGAACATGGAGCCGAAGGGCCGAGGAGCCCGATGCAGGCGGGCTTGGTCGCTCAGGCGTGTCTCGGGAGCATGGGGCCAAGGAGCATGACGCAGGCGTACTGACCGCGCAGGCGTGTCTCGGGAACATGGAGCCAAGGAGCATGACGCAGGCGTACTGATCGCGCAGGCGTGTCTCGGGAACATGGAGCCAAGGAGCACGACGTAGGCGGGCTGGCCGCGCAGGTGTGTCTCGGGAACATGGGGCCAAGGAGCACGACGCAGGCGGGCAGGCCACGCAAGTGTGGTCTCGGGCATTATGCGGCCGAGGATCACGACGCAGGCGGACAGACCGCGCAAGCATGGTCGCGTTGGTCATGCGGCCGAGTAGCACAACGCAGGCGGACAGACTGCGCAGGTGTGGTCGCGATGGTCATGCGACCGAGTAGCACGACGCAGGCGGA